CACAGGCCTGGATCTCAGGCACGAACCTAGCACCACTCGTCAAGCCGCCCTATGATGGCATCTCACATAAAATAGAGGAAGATTGGCACAGATGTTAGCAACAGTCTTCCACAAGCAAAAAGAGGAAGATTGGTAACAGAAGTTTGCTCAGGGCCAATCTTCCTCACACACACAAAAAATACTGGAGATGTAATGTACGACTTAATGACTATAGTTAACACTGCTGAATGGTATATTTGAAAGTTAAGACAGTACATCCTTAGAGCTCTCATCACAAGGAAAAAAATATGTATTTTTCTTTTTGTTTGTATCTATATGAGATTATGGGGGTTAACTAAACTTACTGTGGTAATCATTTTACAATATATGTAAGTCAAGTCATTATGCTGTACACCTTAAACTTACATAGTGCTGTATGTCAGTTTATATCCCAATAAAATTGGGAGGGGAAAAAAACAAGATGGAAAATTAAGCTTTACTTATTGTATAAGCACCCAGGGGTTTTTGTTTTTATTTCATTTTCATATTAATTTTTTTTTTTGAGGAAGATTAGCCCTGAGCTAACATCGGTGCCCTTCTTCCTCTATTTTATACATGGGATGTCTGCCACAGCGTGACAAGTGGTGTGTAGGTCTGCACCAGGATCCAAACTGGTGAACCCTGGGCCACCGAAGCAGAGCGTACAAACTTAACTGCTACGCCATCGGGCCAGCCCCTCATGTTAAATTTTTAAAGAACTTTATCTTGAGATAATTGTAGATTCACAGGAAGTTGCAAGAATAGTACAGAGAAGTTCCTGGACCTTTCACACAATTTCCTCCAATGGATATATCTTATGTAACTGTCGTACTATATCAAAACCAGGAACTTGACATTAGAATGTGTGTGTACAGTTCTTTGCCATTTTCTCACATGTAGATCCATGTAACCACCACTACAATCAAGATAGAGAACTATTAGAACACCTTAAAGATCTTCCTGGGCTACCTCTTTATAGCACACCCACTCCCTTTCCTCCTGATCATCCCGAACCCTGACAACCGCTGATCTATTCTCCATCTCTGTAATTTTGCTGATTTCGAGTAGAATTTCACTTTCATTTATTTATAGTGTTTGGAGAGTATCTCTTTGTATAGGTATTTAGTAGGTGCTCTAGATATGACATTTTATGTACGTAACTTATCTCAGTTGTACTTGTGTGGACATTACCAGTTTCAGGGAGGTATAGAAAGGTTTCTTCTCTTTAAGACCCTTTAGTCTCTCCTGTTTATAATATAGCTGTCTTAAATATTTCCTCTACATAAATTGAGAACCATATCAGACAATGCATGAGTGCTTAGGACAGGGGACGCTGGACTCGATCCTGTGGGCTTTGATCTTTTGAGGAAAGAGGAAATTGTGGGGACCACAGAGTCTCTCTTCCCAGCCAGCAAATTTCACTTCTCCTTTTCATTTGTGCAGTTGCTTGAAGCAGAAATTACCACTGTGCTTATCAACTTCCCTAATCTATCCTGTACACAACCACTAATCTTTTGCTTAACCCATCAGATATAATTTAGAAAACTCAAGAGGAGAAGGAAAACATTTTGTATTAACCCACATTTTTACTCTTTTGTTCTTCCTTCTTGATGTTCCAGATCCCTGTTTTAATCATTTATTTTCTGTTTCTGACCCTCCTTTAGCTATTTTTAGGTTAGGTCTGCTGTTGACAAATTCTTGTAGTTTTTCTTCATCTGAGAATGTCTTGATTTCCTCTTCATTCCTGATTTTTACTGGTTATAGGAGTTTGAGTTGACAGTTCTTTCAGCACTTGAAAAATGTTGTGCCACTTCTTTCTGACCTCCATGGCTTCTGATGAAATATCTGATACTGTTTAAATTGTTTTCTTCATTATAGGAAAGGTGTCATTTTCCTCTGGCTGCTTTCAAGATATTTTCTTTGTCTTTAGTTTTCAGAAGTTTGACTGTGATGTATTTTTGCATGGATTTCTGTGGGTTTATCCTGTTTGGGGTTTGGTCAGCTTCTTGAATCTGTAGGTGTATGTCTTTGGCATATTTGGAAAATTTTCAAGCATACTTATTTGAGTACTTTTAAAGCTCTGCCTTCTTTCTCCTCTCAATTTGGGACTCCAGTGACACAAATATTAGATTTTTCTTATGGTCCCGCAAATTCCTGAGACTCTGTTAAATTTTTTTCAGTCTATTTTCAAGTGAAGTAGCAATAATGCTTGTACTTTTTAATTTAAAACATTTTTTTAATTTTGAAAAATTTTAAACACAGAGCAATAGAAGAAATAAGCTTCCAATTTAATAACTAAGATATGGTCACATTTGCTTCATGTATCCTTTGTTATTTTTTTCTCTCTCAGGTTGCTTAGGTACTTAAAAGCAAATCTTAGACATCACTCATTTCATGCCATTATGCTTCAGAACTGGTCTAACAGATTTGGACATCTTCTGATGTAACCACAATGCTATTATCACATCTAAAAAAAATAGTGATAATTCTTTGGCATCATCTAATACCCAAATTTCCCCAATTGTCCCCAGAATGTCTTTTTTTCAGTAGTAGTAAAGGACACATAACATAAAATTTACCATCTTAGCCACTTTTTAAGTGTATAGTTCAGGGGCTGGCCCAGTGGCGCAGTGGTTAAGTGCACACATTCTGCTTCTTGGTGGCCTGGGGTTCGCTGGTTCAGATCTCGGGTGCGGATGTGGCACCGCTTGGTACACCATGCTGTGGTAGGCATCCCACGTATAAAGTAGAGGAAGATGGGCATGGATGTGAGCTCAGGGCCAGGCTTCCTCAGCAAAAAGAGGAGGATTGGCAGCAGATGTTAGCTCAGGGCTAATCTTCCTCAAAAATAAATAAATAAATGAATAAAAATAAAAAATAAATGTACAGTTCAGTAGTTTTAAGTACATTTACGTCAGTGTACAACCAATCTCCAGAACGTTTTTCATTGTGCAGAACTGAAACTCTGTACCTATTGAACAACTCTCCATTCTCTCCTCCCCGAGGCCCTGGAAACCATCATTCTATTTTCTATCTCTGAATTTAGCTATTCTAGATACCTCATAAAAGTGGAACTATATAGTATTTGTCTTCTTGCAACTGGCTTATTTCCCTTAGCATAATGTCCTCAAGGTTCATCCATGTTGTAGCATGTGTCAGAATTTCATTCCTTTTTAATGATGAATAACATTCCATTGTATTTATATACCACATTTTGCTCATCCATTCATCTGTCAAGGAACACTTGGGTTGCTTACATGTTTTGGCTATTGTGAATAATGCTACTAGGAATACGGGTGTACAGATATCTCTTTGAGACCCTGCCTTCAATTCTTTGGGGTATATTCTCAGAATGGAATTGCTGGGTCATACGGTATTTCTATGTTGAATTTTTTGAGAAATTGCCATTCCACTTTCCACAGCAGCTGTACCATTTTACATTCCCACCAACATTGCACAAAGGTTCCAATTTCTCCACATCCTCACCAACACATGTTATTTTCTGTTTGTTTTTTTTTTATGGTAGCCATCCTAATGGGTAGGAGATGGTATCTCGTTGTGGTTTTGATTTGCATTTCCCTAATGATTAGTGATGTTGAGCATCCTTTCATGTATTTATTAGTCATATGTATATCTTCTTTAGAGAAACTAGTCCCTTGCACATTTTTTATTTGGGTTGTTTGTTTGTTGTTGAGTTATAGGGGTTCTCTATATATTCTGAATATTAACCTCTATCAGATATATGACCCAAGACTGTCTTTTTACAACTGATCTGTTTGAACCAGGATCCAACAAAGTCACATTTATATTAGTATATTTTATTGACTACTCTCTCTCCCTGTTTCTTTCCCCTGTCATTGACTTGTGGCGGGATCCAGGTCCATTGTCGTGAAGACTTGTACTTTTGTATTTTAACTTTGCTGCTGCACTCCAAAGTTTCCTGCTTTTGCTTTTGGCAATTCCAGCAGTGAGTCTTCCCTATTGAAAAATGAGAGTGTCTCTATCAGAGGTTCCTAGAGGACTAAACCAAAAATGAGAAGAGGAACCTGTCTCGGTATCTGGGAACCTGCTGGTGGCGGGGGTGGGCGCTGGAGAAGGAAGGTTGGAGGGGTGTGAGCCTGGCCTGAGAGAACAGAACAGAACAGAAGCTTTTCCCATGAGGCGACTGGTGTTACCCAGAGACTCCCAATGATCGGGAACAGACCCAAAGACTATCCCTCCAGCCATGGGTGGCACAGGGCAGATGCTGGGGGCACCGCTGGGACCATACTGCAGCTCTGCTTCCCAGGGGACACTGGAGAGGAAGATCCTGCCTCAGGGCTGCCCTGCATACGTGAGGGCCTTCGTAGATGTCCTTGAGGGCACAGGGGCAAGGCTGGGGAGTCTCCAGCATCCAGGAGGCTCAGATCCAGGACATGGTAACAGAGAGACCATTGAGAGAAAAGCTGCGGTCGCTAATGTCTGGGCATTCTGAAAGATCACTAGAGTTATCTCCAGGATTAGGAGTATGGGTGATTTTTTTTCTTTATATTTTCCAAATTTTCTTGAGTGAATAATGAAAAAGTGATACATTCTATTTAAAAATAGATCAACACCTTTAGGATTAACACAGATATGCCTAAGGATGACCATTATTGATAACAACTGAGTTCTCCAGAGAACTGTGGGCTGGAATGGGCTGGGACCTAAAAGAGCAGCCCCTGCCCACTGGCTGGGCCTGACCCAGGAGCATGGCACAGTCCCGGGAAGACCAGGCTTGGTGGAGATGAGCAGTCTCCCCTGCCTCTGGAAATGAGGCTGCTATTCCTGGTTTTGCCTGCAGCCCTAGTGAGGCCTGGGGCCTTTAAGGGAGGGGGCCCAGGCTTCAGGATGCCCCTGCCAAACCCAATGGAAACTACCCAGTGGGCCAGTTTCTCTTACCCAGGAGAGCCTTATCCTAGCTTACTGCTTCCAAACTCGTAGACACCAACAAAACCCACTGCTCCCCAAGTAGAGAACTCTTTATTGTAAACCCAGGATACAGAAGGAGAAATGACAAACATAGGCATTTCTCAGCTCTCTGAGATTCTCACAATGCATACAAAACCGTAGTAAAAGATAGTTTCCTAAAATTGTTTTAAAATACCTCCCAATATCAAAGTGGGGATAGGTGCATGGTAGCTAAGTGCTTCGTCAATGTCATGCAGAGAGGGGCCTCCAGTCCCTCTGAGACCCTGAGGAAACGTACCTTGCCCCCCCCATGGCTGGAGGTGGAGCAAAGAGGACACACATTTTCTATTAGATTTAGGGTCCTGGGTCTGCCCTGGGTCAGAGACCTGAGACCATGACATTTTCTCCTCAAAGGAGAGCTTGAGGGTGACTAACGTACAAATGTGCGGGGGAGGGAAACACAGCTGTGTCTGCAGCTAACTTGCTGTGTGAGTTCAAGCAGCCCTCTCTTGCTCTGTGCTCCACTGAAGGTATGAATACTGGCATAGTGGGTCCTTTCCAGAGTCTGGTTTTAAATGAAGAGGGAAAAAAGAGAAAAGGAATACAAGAGTGTCCCATCTTTGTCCAGGGTTAGACCCCCTTGATGGTTGGACTGTCCCCACCAGCCGTTCCTAGAAGCTGTACCCAGGGAAATATGTGCATGAAGGTGGCTGTGTGTGTGTGTGTGTGTGAGGGTGCACGTGCATGTAGATATGTGGCTGTGAGTTTGTATGTGTCCATGTACCCATAAGCCTTGGGGCAGGAGGCTCTTGTGTGATCACTGTTTGTAAACTGGTCCCAGCAAACAGCTTTGTAAGGCAATCAAAGTACAGAAGGTTGGTAGGACAGCTCTCTGGGGGGCCCAACGGGGAAGCTTTCCTCCTTACACTGCCATGGTGACCCAGCCCCGGAACCCAAACTTGATGGATATGCTGGAGGTCAGGATCCTTCTCATGCCAGGCAGAGGTGAGAGTGTGATCACAGGGGTGTGGAGAGGTGGAAGGAAAAAGCAGTCCTAGACAATTGGGCCAATGTCTTGGGGACATGTCCCACTGAAGGTAGGCAGAGGCTGGGAGGGGTCAAAGAGACAGATAAGAGGTGGACCCATTAGGGAATCAGGTTCAAGGTAGGATCTCCCCATGCTGGGCCAGCCTGCTTCCCCATCTGCCCCTGGGGGCAGGCGGAGGAAGTGGGATATGAGGTGGGCAACCAGGCACTGACGTATCAGTAGGCACCATCATGGAAGCAGCTGCCCCAGCAGTGCCGTGGTCCCCACAGTGGCCAGCATGTGGCCCAGGCAGCCAGCTCTCTCACAACCAACATTTGTCTCCCCTAGGAGACCCAGACCAATGTTTCAACATTTCCTACAGTGATTCAAACACAGCTACTGCCTGTTCTCCCCACCGTACTTAGTTCTCAGGTAGAGAAACTGAGGCCTAAGATGTGTGGACAGGTCAGAGCTGGCTCCGCTGGTCCTCTTCTTAGTCCCAGCTAGCTGTGGTTTTCACTCTCCTGGCTGATAACCCAGCAAGTGGACGTGACACTTGCAGCCACTGGTTCCACGCAGGACATGAGATGTGATGTCCAGATATGTATAGTGGCTGCAGATGTGTCTATGGAGTTGGCATCTCCAAGAATTGAGAGGCAAGTGGAACACAGATTTCCCTACAACCACAGGAGGAAGCAGGGGCAGAAGTACATGTACAGGCAGACAGACGCACGCACACCCAGGGTCCCCAGGCAGTCTTCAGGGCAGGGACAGAGCCTTGGCGAGGCGAGTCCAGAACCAGGACTTGGTGCAAGGGTTGGTGTAGTCACAGACAGTGATGAACCGTAGGATGCTGGGGAACTCTTTCTTCATTGCCTTGTACTTGATGGGGATCAGTCGTTTCTGATGGGCACCTGCAAGCCAAGGGATGCAGAGATGGCACCAGGCCCTCGCCTCATGATAGGGTGGGACCAGTCCCCAGCCCAGGGGTTAACAACAGCCCTCCCTCAACTAAGCATCCCTGGCACACATTCACCCACACAAAGGGCATTCATGTGTCCACACCCTCAGGTGTGTAGAGACCCAAAGGAGTTCCTTGGTGCTGTATCCATGGCCCTTGGTGAGAGAAGGCTGACATCCTGAGAGCCCGCCCACCCACTCCTCTGTGGCAAGGGCAGGGCTGAGCTTACCTGGAGAGAGGCTGAGTGCAAACTTAGTCTGGAAGTCACATTCCTTGCTTTGCAAGTAATCATCGGAGACAACCACCACCATCCTGCGGCACCTAGGGGAGAGTGGGCAGGCTGCAGGCACTGTGGTGATCTAGTTCAGCTTACCAGGAGACAGCCTTGGAAGGAGCCCAGGGTGCCCAGGCTAGACGGGGCCCAGCTGGGAGAATCCCAGCATCTGGATCCCTGGGCAGGGCTTTGCGCATCCACCCACTCACCCCCTGAGCTTAGCTAACCTCTTCTCAATGAGTTCACTGGCGATGGACCAGACACAGGTGCCAGGCAGGACATCGCGGTCAGACACACACAACTTCAGTCGATAGTTTGTCTGCTCCAGCTGCCGGATCATCTCCTGCACAAACTGGATGTCGCTGGGGCAGTAGCAGATGAAGGCATCAAAACGCTCAGGCATTTGCCCTGGGTGCAGAGCATAATGGTGATGGTCAGAGTTCTACAGAAAGACTGGGGTGGAGCCTAGCCAGGAGCCCCCAGCCTAGGTGACCCTAGACTAATCCTGGGATGACATGACTCAGAGAAAGCGCCCTTCTCAGGAGAAGAAAGATGAATGCCTCCCCCTCTGCCTGCCCCAGGCCAAGCCGTGGGTTGACCATGAGACAGACACATCATTTCATGAGAGTCTCACACCAGCCCAGAGGTAGGACTATCATTGTTCCCATTTCTTAGTTGAGGAAACTCAGGCTCAAAGAGATGTGACTTGCCCCAGGTCCCACAGCCCATCTGCTTTCAACATCTATGCTCCTAAAACCACAATGTCCCATGGCCCATCTGTCCCGCCCGGCTGAAGGGAGCAGTATTGGGCCCTTACCCAGGGGGTCATCGAGCGTGGTGATGCCTGCCAGCTCTGCCGTCCGTGGGACACTACTGTCTACCGCAGCCACCTGTAAGGGCTTCTCAGACTCCTGCTGCTGCTGCTTCAGGATATACTTTTGGCAGTCCTCTTCTGTGGGAAAGAGACAGGTGTGGCAGGCTCCCCAAGGGTGCGCCATGCCTTTACCCACAGTCAGGATCCAGCACCTGTCCCACCTCCCTGGCCATGTTGTGCTCCAGGGCTTCTCCAGCCCACTGGTGCCATCCACGGTTCGACAGCTCTGAAAAGTTGAGCTCCCACCTGGCTCTGACCATCCCAACTGGATGTCAGTGGTGTTCTGGCCATCTGGGAAGTCATCAAGGTCAGTCTCGTGTATCTCTGTCCCTTTGCCCTGGCTCCCCTTCCTAGGGCTCCTGAGATACCAAGATCTGCTTCTTCTAGGATCCACGGCTGATGTAGGGGCTGGGTACGCAAGAAGGGCTCAGGAGACCCAGTGTTTGTGTGCGGTGAGGGCAGAGGCCCCAACCAAGCAAGCTGTTCCTGTCAGTGGGCCACTGTCCTCATGCCTATGCATGTACATCAGAGAGTAGCAGGAAGGGCTGAATTTCCCAGGGACCTGAGGTTTCCAAGACTGTTAGCTTTCAGTCCCTCACCTGCCCTCTTGCTCTACCTGAAGCAGCCCAGACCCCCACCCCGCAAGAGGACCCCGATTCTGACTCTGGCCCCACGTGAAAGCCTTTCCCTAAGCTGTTTCCCTCCGTTCCTCTCCTGGCCTTCACCTCCTTTCTCCTAACATCTCGGATACTGAAAGAGGGGTCCCACATGGTTCCCCCTCTGCAGGCTGCCTCCACCCCCAGGAAGGAAACGAGGGCCTCTCCAGGGAAGACTGGATGCTGAGGTCAGCGAAGGTCAGCTCCCTCAACCTCACCCCACCCCCACCCCGGGTATGAGGACGGGAAGGGGGTGTCCTCACCAATGCTGGGCCCCAGTTCCACCAGCACGTCGTCGCGGCCCAGCTTGGCGAGCAGCTCGAGCAGGCGGCCCACGGAAGCGCCAGGGCGTCCCTGCCAGTCGTCCAGCAGGCTGCCCGTGGGGTCGGTGTGCGTCTCCAGCTGCCGGATCTCCAAGTACTCGAAGTCCATCTCCTCGGCCAGCGCCGTCCAGTCAGCCGCCACCTGCGTCCGCACGTTCAAGAAGAGCGACAGGCGGCGCCGCACTCGCACGTTGAGCGCAGCCAGCGGCAGGGAGGACGCGGAGGGAATGTGGGGCGCGGACCCCACGCCGGGGCCTCCTGCAGCCATGGCGGGCCGCCCTGGAGCCTCCGCGCTGTGGAGCCGCGTCGCGGGACCGCGCTTCCTCCTTCCTCCCCGGCCAACCCCCCGCCCCGCCCCGCCGGTTTCTCTTTCCGAGAAGCGCCGCCCTGCCCTACAATCTGCAGTCACGGCAGATGTGCGGAGGTGGGGGCGCACCACCCTTGCCCTTGGGGTCTCGGGGACGGGAATGTGGTAACCGGAGACCTCTCCTCGAACAGGGGGGTGGGGGAGGGGGAGACGACGACGCCCCTTCGGGGGTTGTAGGAAACAGGGGCCTTGCTCTTTTGGTTCTGGTGGAGTCACATCCTTTCCATTGGGGATCTGAAGGGTTCATACGGTTCTGCCTTCGAGGATGGCGGAGAGGGGGCAAGGGGGGAGGCATCGGCTGTGTCTCCCCACCTGGATTTCTTGGAAACATCCAATCCTGCCCGTAGGAGTATGGGGAGTCCCCAACCATACACTCAGAGGTGGCGGTGGGAAAGGGCATCCTGCCTTCTGGAGTCTGAGGCATGCCACGGCCCTACCCTTTAAAGGTGGGGGACACCACCCTCCCCTTCGGCGCTGGGGATAACCTGGCGCTTTGGCCTTTGTTGTCTGGGAGAAACCCAGTACTACTCTCCGGGGTCTAGAGAAACACGTTGCCATTGGGAATCAAGGGGCACCTGGTCTTGCTCTTTAGGATTGGGGGTAGGTGGGGGAGCAACACAGTCTTGACCTGGGGAGCGCTGGTTCATTCATCGTTCAGCAGGTATTTATAGATCACCTAAGTGTCAAGCATGTTGCAGAACCCCGGATACAGGGTTGTTCACTGCCTTGGTGGAGCCCTCAGCCTAGTGGAGGTCAAATCATCCCAAATGACTGTAAAATTGGTGAAAAGAAGTGTCTGGTGCTCTCTCTCCAGATAGGAAGCTTGTCACATCTCGGCACCTTTGTACAATCCGTCTCCTGCCGCCCCAGAATCCCAAATTCCCTCAGGCTTCTCGAAAGACTTCCCAGGAGAGCCCAAGCACTGGACTCTGGGGGCGTTTCAGAATTTTTTTTTTTTTTTTAAAGATTGGCACCTGGGCTAACAACTGTTGCCAATCTTTTTTTTTTTTTCTGCTTTATTTCCCCAACCCCGCTCCGCACATAGATGTATATCTTAGTTGCAGGTCCTTCTAGTTGTGGGACGTGGGACACTGCCTCAACGTGGCCTGACAAGCGGTGCCATGTCCGCGCCCAGGATCCGAACCCTGGGCCACCGCAGCGGTGTGAACTTAATCACTCGGCCACGGAGCCGGCCCAGCGTTTCAGAATTATTTAGGTCCCCTGGCTTGGGTGCTGGGAGACAGGACAGCAGAGAAGGCTAGGAAGGAGAAAGAGGAAGTGGAATCCGGCCCTCCTAGTTCCCGAGCAAGAAGCCGTGGGCGGGGCTCCTGGCGGGCAGTGGGCAGGGCTGTAGCGGAAGGGGCTCCGGGCAGTGGCGGAGTTGGTTTCAAAATACCAAAAGTGCTCTTGGTGGCCCGCCTCTGGTTTGGCAGTAGGCGGGGCTGCAGGTGGAAGGGTTTTCCGTCTGCATTTCTGGGCGGGGCTTCAGGAAAGCCCACCTCCTGGTTGGCAATCGTAGGCTACGGTAGGCGGGGCTTTGATTGGAAAGCTCCTCTTGGCGGAGACCGTGAGCCCGGCTTTAGGTGGTTTGGTTTGCGGCGGGGGGCGGGACGTCGGGCAGACTCGCCTTCCAGTTGGCTGAGGCGGGAGGTGGGCGGGACTTTGGAGGGAGGAGCTCGTCAATCCCGCAGGGCTGTGGGCGGAGCTTAGGCTTCCAGGGCAAAGGTGGCCTGCGCCGGGTGGGGGGTTCAGTTGGCTCCCGAGCTGTTTTCCCGGCCGGTTGGGCGTCTGCCGGGCCGAGCTGCGCGATGCAGAGGTTGCAGGTGGTGCTGGGCCACCTGAAGGGCAGGCCCCATTCCGGCCCGGAGCCGGCGCCGCGGGCCGCGCCATGTTGGAGCAGCACTCGGTGGCCGGCGGACGAGGACGTGGTGGTGGTACACGGGCGGCGTACGGCCATTGGCCGAGCGGGCCGCGGCGGCTTCAAGGTGAGGCCCCTAGGGCCGGGCGCCGGGTGTGAGGCTGCGGCCCGGGCGGGCTGGGGTCTGGCTCCTCTGTTCGGTTCCCCTCGGCTCCGGAGGTGCCTCCGCGCCCGAGCTGTGACCAATCCTCTCTGGAGTGGGGATGGGGGTGCGGGGGTCCCGGAACCCCGTGCACCTCCGGCCGGGGGATCACCGCGGCCGCGCTTCCCGCTGCAGGACACCACCCCTGACGAACTTCTCTCGGCCGTCATGACCGCGGTTCTCCAGGACGTCAAGCTGAGCCCGGCGCAGCTGGGGGATATCTGCGTGGGTGAGCACACTACCCAGGCCGTGCGCTCCGTTCTCCTCGCCTTCCCATCCCGCCAAGGCCCTCCTCAAACATCTTCCCACCCTCTGGGCACTTTCTAAGTGTTTTCACTGGGGAGAATGTCGACGGTCTCCACGCAGTAGAATTTAATCGTCTCTTTAGGGCTAGACTGCACCCCACTCCTCACCTCCCACCCCCGTCCCTGGGCACTTTCTGCGCCCCCTCCAAGCACGTTCTGCTTATTCAGTATGATAGAAAGCAGGGATCTCAAGTGATAGACATTATAGCGCAGAGACTTGGCTCAGGGGTTTGAGGACACCCTAGGAGACAGGAGACCCATCCTGTCTGTGACACGACAGACTAGAGGGAGCATCAGAAACCATCTAGTCCAGCCCCTCACTTAACAGATGGAGAAACTGAGGTCTGGGGAATTTGCAGCAGAGCTTGGACCTGACTCCAGGGACTCTTGACCTTCAGTCCAACCCTTTTCCTCACTCCTCCTCCTCTAGCCTCAAAACATAACATAATATGGTGAGAGTCTCATCAAACAGGTGCCACCCCTACGTCGGGAATCATTGTTCCATTTCTGGAGTGCCTCCAGGGCTTGGTGGAACGCTGCGGCAGTTGTGCGTTTTCAGAAACTCGTTTCCCTAACTCACAGGACTGGTTCGCTAGACTTGAAGCTTTGCATTGCATTCTTCTTTGCTTTCCGTGTTACCTTTAAAGGCAGGCACCCTGCCCTGCACGTGCTGATTTGGAAAGCAGGGTACATGGGCGAGGGAACTGGGGACCCCCGGGGACTGGGGCTAGTATGTGACAAGCTGCTGTATAGCTGGCTACCCCTACTCCAGACCTTGAAATTATAGGTTAGCCTGCTGAGGAGTCATGTTTCTGAGGAAAGATCTGGAATGTCCACTCTCTGGTATTCATAGATGTACCTTAGTGCTCAGAACGCCTGGCACTGAATTTGTTTGTTGTCCACAGGAAATGTGCTTCAGCCGGGGGCTGGGGCAATCATGGCCCGAATCGCCCAGTTTCTGAGGTAAACTTCTCTAGTTCCAGCTCCAGGTTAGCCATCTCGACTCTTGAGTGGGCTCAGGCCCAGGGAACTCAGCCTGTGGGTCAGAAAGAATCAGGTTGGACACTAGACCTGGAGGCAGCCAGTCCTTGGCATCTTTTCTTGTGGACTCCTACTTTGAAGGGAGGTTGTGTTGGTGATGCTGAGCCAGGACAACAGGGCCTTTGAGACGAGCAAACGCTCTCTGTGGCCTGATTTTTAGCCAAAGTCAGCTTGTTGCTTTGCCGTGTGTAAGTGTGGACTCTGTCCTGTTTGTCAGGTTAATAACCAGGTAGGTACACTGAAGAGTGACTTTGAGCTTTTTTGCTAGTTGAGCAAGCTGGGACCTCCAGGGGACACCCCATCAGCAGAGACTTGGGTAGGGTGAAGGGTAGCCCAGGAGGGGCCTTGATAAACTTGCCCTTCACCACTTGCTGTCCTAAGACAGGGAAGGAGTGCTTAAATTATTTTCACATGTAGATTTAAGAACCGCTTACCTTTGTACTCCTAGCTGCATGTAGAAGAAATAATAGGAGTGTTGGCCAGTGAAGGAACAGGAAAGCTGACAAAACCTCCGGGGACTGGGAGAGGTTCAGACTGCTTAGCCTGGAGTTTAAGGACTCCCAGATGTTCCTTCCAGCCTTATCTCCCAGCTGCTCACTCACCTCGACTGTCCCTCTTTCAGCCAGGCTGTCTGCCCCCTGTCTTCCCTACACTGGTCATTCTGTCCCCACCTCCTCTCTCTGCCCTAACTAAACCCTGCCCAAACACAGTTCTACCATCTTGGCCTGACTTTCCCGAGCTCCCAGGCTTAAAATGAGGGGCCCCTTCCTCTCCAATAGCTAGTCATGTGCTTCCTTGTGATGTGCTTTGCCATCTTGCTTTGTTATTTCGGTCTCTGCTAGTTGATTGATTTTCTGTGTGCTGGTCGGGCATCCTCTAGGGCAGTGTACTCTACACATGTCAGCATTCCTCAGGTGGTGCATCATACTGAGTAGGTGTTTAGTGAACATTTGGTGGATTGGGTGAAGGGGTAGTAACTAAGTAGTAAGGAGTTAGGGGACCTGGGAAAGGTTAACTAGGCCTAGGAGGCTATCCGCCTTAGAGGGTCTTGGCAAAGCCTGGCCTGAGCGCTAGCTCAGGTTCCCAAGCCTGGCTGCACACCAGAATCACCAGAATGCTTTCACCCCCTTAGGTTCTGAGTCCATGGTCTGGGGAGGGCCTGGGCTTTGTATTTCCCCTAGGGCTTTATACCCTTGGCCAGGGCAAGTGACATGGGAAGGGCAGCCCCATCCGCTTCTAGGGCTGGGCCAGTGTGCGAGCTTGGGGGAACCCACCAGAACAAGGGAGTAGAACACCTGGGTACCCATCAGGGTTTTTTGTCCAGCTGAGAACAGGCTTTCCAGAGAGGATGGGAACATAAAGGGTTAGCCAAATGGTTGCTAGTAAGACCGAGAAGTGGGGATGGTTTCCGCCCTCATACTTTAGACATTTCTTTTGGTCTGGTTCTCTGTCCCAGCAACAGGCCCTCTTCTCTGTTCTTTGGGGAAAACAGAGATGTATAGTTTTCATTTTCGAATCTTGAAAGGGGGAGAAAGAAGGATCCATG